TCGGCTATTTACTTCTAATCAATGTTTCACAAACATTCCAGTTAAACTTTAAAATGTAATATCTCCCTAAACACTTTTGTACTTGTACAAAGCATACTCTGATTTCGTTTTGTCTTAAATCTTTTACTACCCACATCATTCATATCCTGAATATCTCAACACATAAGTTATAACATAGATCTAAATGTTATAATTGATACTGATACGTGTTTACTATCAATCAACTACCCAGTTTTCACACATGTTTCCAGTATTTTGTCACCAGTCATTGAATTGTTTGCTTTTTCCACTCATCTCTTGAATCCACGACAGAAAATGTGATTATATAACTCTTTGACGTAGCTACTCGTGGACTGTGATGAATATTGGATATTTTGGTTTCAAACCACAAAGTTGCCCACATCTCTCCTACAGCCCGAATGGACTAGCGGCTAGATCGAGGGTTTGCTTGTCAGGGACGGATTCAGTCGATATCCAGTCTTAGTAGACTCAAGGAAAAGGTTCCAAACATTGCTAATCGTAAGGTAGAGATCCAAGATTTTTTAACTATACCCATGATTTATACTTTGAAGACAAATATTTGAATTTGAATGTTGAAGAGTTCAAGGAAGTATAATATTATAAACGAAGTTGCCAAACAAAATTATCATACGATTCTCAGATTGCGCAAATATTTTTGTATTTTCAATCCTATAGAATTTATTTGTAGACAACTGAAGAAAATAATCCGTAGAAATTTCGACCCTAGAGTTATATCTTAAAAACAACCACATAAGTGGTAAATGTCAGTGCTGTCGATTGGCATGAAAAAGTGAATGAGGTTTTGAAATTCTAAGAATACCTATCAGACATATAAATCTGGGTGCCATACACATCTGAACGGTCAGAATCGATTCATCATCAATTTGGCAGATGATAGTGAGGAGGGCTTTAATTTCAGCGATGAAGAAGATGAAGTGTACAATTGAATCGAGTTTGAATTGGTAGCGTAATTTATGAGAATATCCGTCATGAATTTCACATAACGAGATAATATTCCTGTCTAAAAAAATATGATACTATACACATTTTGAATTGTTTCTATTTGACTTCATGAATCACTTAGTAGCTTACAAGTAAGCAAGAGAACAAACCATACCTACACCTATTTAGATAATATAATTCAGGTTACTGATATCATTATCATTTTCTATCGTTTCTGAGTAAAGTAATTCAGTCCGGCTCTGGTCCCAAACAATTGCGGATGAGTGCGGATGGCTTCGGAATGTCGGCAAAAAATATCAAGAAGATTGCGCCTTCTTTTTTATGTTTCATATAAGTATTTGTCCTACCGAACAGTGAGAAAAAAGTAGGTATCGAAATAAAACAAGAAAAATTGATACAGACTTTAGGCATACCCTGTATGACAGCATACCAAATTCAAATGTGGTTAATTTTCTGATTTTGCATTGTAGTTATAATTCTATCCAAACCCAATTGAAAAAGCATGTGGTTATATACCGCGCATTGTCGCGGCGGGTTTGAAGTACCCTTTGAAGTCTGTGCACGTGTGGCATTGTCCGATTCTTTGATTATTTCCGCAGGGCAGTCCAAATATTTTGGCGAAGATAATCAGTTTTTGAGTCAGTTGAGTGTTGAAACTCCTAGGGTCAGTGCTCATAAATGAGAACAAAATATTGAAAATTGTCTACTCCGACATACATTTTATTGTAGGATTATAGATAAATGTAAGTTAATTCGATTTGAAAATTTTTAGGAGGAATTTAACTTCAGCGATATGTCCTTGGATTCTTTTTTGAAAAGCAGGCAGATACCCCAAGAAACAATAGACTATTTCAGGGAGCAAAATGTAAGTAGTGATAAAATATTCATTGATGCAACACAATTAATCTCAATGGTAACTTAGTAAATTATTAGTGATAGTGATCGACCACATTTTTTAGTACTCGTTTTTTTCTATTTCATTTCAAATGAAATATATTGATATTGATCTTAATTAGCATAGTTACGTAGGTAGATCTAAGGTGAGAATAAAAAAAATCGACCAAGAAAAATTGATGTGAATATTTTTTTAAATCATACGTCCACCGTCCACCGCTAGGGGCGTAATAGCTTCGATCGTATTAAAAATACTATTTCTCGAACATTTTCAACTTTAGGAATTAATACTTTCACGTTAATTCCACTATTATTGTTCATCTTTCTGATGAATTTTTTTTTCAATGTAGGACGTGAAATAAAGGTATGAGGGGATGCTGAACTTTTTGGAATGTAAGTATCTATATAACTTAAGTTTGACTTAACGAAATTTGTCATGTCATTCTGGTTCTTACCACCCTCGCTATGGGGCAAGTTTCATAAAGATAACCGGTTTTTGAATTTTGCTCCGAAATTGTAAATAGAACCGTAAGATGATTATTTTTAGCAGATTCGCAGAGTAGATCAAATTGGCAACACAATACCTATGTTCAAATCGAATGGAGATATGATCATTCTTTTAAAAGTTATGGTTTAAAGAAAATAATTAACGAATTTCTTAAAGGAAGATAATGAGTTGTAGTCTCGTAGTCAAGTATGCCATGGACAAATGAAAAAACAGTGTGGAACTTCATTATACCATCATTTCAATTCAATCATAACAATAATGCTATACCATAAGACCATAACAAACAAGAAACAACAGTAACAACATCAAGATTATTGAATAAACTTTACTACTGGTACTGGTAAGTATAGTGAAGGTATTGATATTCAGAAATATCCAACCGGCGATTTTTTCCAAATAGGTATAGATAGTTTGTTCCTTGACATTCGTGACATTCGTAAAGAGCCTAATAAAATTTTTTAATAATAAAGTTTGTACAATCATGTTGATGTTATTATTGTTGTGTTCTTGTTTGTTATATGATATCCAATCATGTTGATGTTATAATTGTTGTGTTCTTGTTTGTTATGTGATATATAATGATTGTTTTTTTTTTCTTCAAAAAATTAGTTAATAAAATATTTTTCTTTCCAAATCTTATAAAATAATCACACGGTTCTATCACGATTTCGGAGCAAAATTAAAAAAAAACTGATGACTATAAAACACGCTCCCTCGCGAATGCGGTAAAAAAAGAATGCATGGCATAGATGGTTTTTTATTTTATTAACCCAACCTTCCTTTCTTGAACCAGACTAGACCTTGTATGCTGAACTCCGTTAAGTCAAACTTGAATTATAGACACACACTTTCCAAAAAGTTCATCATCCCCTTCCGCCTTCATTTTACGTCCTACAATGAAAAAATATCTACCAAAAAGATGAAGCATTATGGTGGCAATAATGTGAGAGTATATTAATTACTAAACTTATATTGAAAACATTTCGAGAAAATTTATTAAAATCAAACCTATATTACGTCACCTAGCGGTAGAAGTATGGGTTTTAAAAATATTCCCAATAATTTTTCTTGGTCGATTTCCTCTAGAGAATTTTTTCCCAAACTTCTATAGGACTACTATCCTGAGATACAGTACCTCGTCACCCTCATTGAATCTCCCGATACAACATTCACTTGGCAGAGCAATAAAATTGTTAGTAACTGATCATGCATTGATTATGTATTATATGAGCCTCACGTATTTTTTAAATCGATATTTTCATCAGTAATCTTGCTAGTGCTTGGAATACTATCAGAAATATTTCCGAGAGCGTGAATTTTCACAAAAATAAGAGATGTTTCCGCGATATTAATTCAAGAACGGGGGAGATTCGGTAAGGAAATTCTACACCAAAGTCATATAAAAATTAAGACATGACATTTCGTAATTATATTGGGTTTCTCTATCCAAAAAAGACCCCTCAAGGATTTTAGTAGCATTTAACAAATCTTTGGTCGTTAAAAATAATGTATGCTTACAGCTATCTACAAATCTGTGTCTAAAGTGAACGGATGCTTTATTTTCACAATTTTTGTGCATTTTACAGGAATACTATCGCTGTCGTAACGCTGAGGTATAAAAAATATACTCAGGATGAATAAACTATCGCATAGTATTTTGGTTGCTTAAGTAACGAGCTGAAACGAAATTACTTATTGGTTACAAAATATTGGTGTGAATTTTCAAGACAGCACCAATCATACATATTCCTACCTTTTTTCAAATATGAATCAAAATCGAATCGCTAACAAAGATAACGACGTCAAAGATCAGGAATAAATGTAAAAACTCGATATCTATTAAGTGTTACGACTGTTCGATTATATAATTTTTGAGTTAGAAATTTTTAAATTGATTTGATTCCGAAGTGAACTAGAAACAATTTCCTTTGATATGGATTTTCATCAAGTATCGACCGCGTCTATTTATAATTTGATTTTCTTCAGATTGATGGCGAAACACTTCTCTTAATGCCGGAGGATGATTTCAAAGAAATGATTCCAAAACATGGGGATCGAATTGCACTACTGAGCTTTTGTAAAAGAACAAGAGTAAACAAAAAGCAGAGCTTGATAGAAAAATTGAAAAATAAGATGGAGACCAATGGATCCAGAAAAAAGAAGAAAAAGTCTTGTACCGAATATCCGCTGAATAAAAAACCAACAAGAACAGTGGAAATAGGTTGGCTGTGTGCCAACAGCAAGAGTAAAAATTATATGCAGGTCAGGGCAAAATTTGGAGGTGGAACTAGAAAAATTGTAGTTCCCAGAGAAACTAGGTGTTCGGAGATTCTGCTGAAAGCGAAGGAATTATTCTTTCCCGGAGGTGACTCACCAAAAGGACATATATCCTTATACGACCATGAACTACTAGACTTTAAAAGTAATAGCTTCTCCGAAAATTACACTATCGAAGAAATGTATGACTTAACTGCTGTGAGAACATTGCGATTTTATTTGGCCACTAGTTATAAAAAGGATGCAGAGATTGAAGATAACGATGTAGAATATATTCCGGAAACGATTACCAGGCCAATCTCAGATAGTAATGATGCTGTTGCTGATAGTTTTAGTTCGGAACTGGAACTACATAATGCAGAATCAACACGAGCTTCATCTTCCACAGAAACGCTGATGAGAAGAAGTGAACGATTAAATGAAATACCATTGACTAGGTATTTCCAGGAATTCGAGGAAGAGGTGAGATACTTCATCATCTAAATAGTTCCTTGAATAGAGCATTGTCAGTGACGTCATATGACGTAAAATTGTCGGCCATTGAACACCTGATGGGGGGACAAGCATACAAATTTTCCATAAGGCTACATGTAACTTTCTTGCACATTACCACTACAATACAATACCTGAAGCATTTATTTATTGACATGTTTGTTAATTCATTCATCATGAATCCTGTGAGAGAAGTGAATGAGTCCAAAGAAGAGTTCAAATTGGTTTATTTGTCAATTTTAAATCACTGGATTTACTTGAGTTCAGCTCTAATATACCTAATATTACCTCGTAATATACCTCGATAGATACTCATTTTGGAAGAAAATGTACACATTCTTCTTGTATAATATCTACAAGTTGAACAAAATCACCAATGGGTCAGAAATAATAAAATCAAAATTCACACACAGCTTTGTTTGTCCCCCGATCAGCTGATGAGAACGACGAGTGCGCCATGTTGTGACGTCAGCAGACATTGCTCTATTCTATATAATTTTTCACTGTCATGAAATAGGTAGGTATACATTTTTTAAAAAAGGATCTCCATCAACATCAACTCAGAATTGAACACTGAAAGTTTATTGTTATATAAAAAATATTTATTCATATTTAATTATACCTACCACAAATTCCACAAAACTGAACTGTTTTCAAATATGCACACCGTTGAAGGCACGACTGAATTCTATTCATTTATAGTTATTTACCAACTCAGCGGCGAATCGACGATTTCTGGGGCCCTGAGCTTAATATTTTTTGGCGCCTCTGCGGCCCCTCTCTTCATTCCTCCTTCTGTTTTTTCTCTCACCAGCTGAACGAATTCAGCCGTTCCAGAAATATTTAGGGAAAACTTGATATCAGTGATTTCGTTATTATGATTATTTTCTTGGTCCATATTTGAGAAAGAAATTTAAAATTTTGCGATAACAAGTAATTAATCATGATAAAGAATCAGAAATATAATTTTTTTTCTGTGACGGGAAAAAAGTTGGCATTCCATCTCTGTTGGCATAATAAAATGTCACTTTCCATGAATGACTTTTTTCCTGTGGGAAAAAAGTGAGTACTTTTTTCCCGGACATATATCACATATATATACACTGTTGATGGCTTTTGTTGTGCTATAGTTCCGAAAAATGAGTCAATAATACCGTCTCCGAGAAAGAACTGCAAGTCCTTTTATCTTCCATTCGACTTCGCGGTTACGAAAATTACTAAACAACCACTAAATTCGCGATTTTTTGAAATCAAATCACAGAATTAGACTGACAGAAGTGACATCAGATATTTGATTACTTCAAAAGAATGATAAAGATGCCTACAACGCAGGTGTCCCTACTGTTAAAAACTTAAAATTTCACGTCGATAATTTTCAGATTTCAAAATAATGTAATATCTTCTCAATATTGATTCGTCCTTACTTCTGTCACAGAAAAAAATAGTGTATTATACTCGGGACAAATATTACTATTACTACTTTTTTCCCTTGTAGTTATAATAAATATCTATTTCATTAGATATTTTTAGAGATTCACTATTGCTATGAAGATATTTTGTTTTCTTATTATTATTGCCTACCACATCTTTCAAAAAAACCTGTAAATAGTGAATATCAACAAGAAAATGTCACAGAACCCACCAAATATCAAATCTCTGGCCGCCTTCTGGCCCAGAACATGATGATAGATCGGCAGATTGCTGGCCATGGCCAAGCTGCACTTGTCAAACGTCGGCTCGTTGTATTTCATATTGTAATAGTTTGCCTATAATTCAGCCGGCACTGGGCCAATAGTGTCAATTCGTATTATGTTTTTACGTACGTCATACAATCGTCTACCCATTTTATGGCATATTGAAATATAATCTAGCCGGCACCGTGCCAAATAGAATATGATTAAATTTCAGTTTCAATTGAGAAATAGAATTTTAAAGACGGCGGAATAGCTCAGTGGAGTGAAAATGTTGAATTTTCTCTAATGGAACACCCTATACTTCACTGCAATACTTGAAGAAGTATTTTTTGCTGATAATATATAATTTTCATACATTCCATGGAGTAATAGTGGGTGGACCAAAGGAATAAAACTTGAGATTAATTGCAATTTTTGCCATGAAGTCATCTAATTCAACTCAATTTGAGCTGAAACCAGGAGATTATTGAAAATATCAGTTGTCAGTTGACCTAACAACAAAACTTGAATTCAATTAGATAATTTTACGACCGTCAATCAATTGCAAGTTATATTCCTTCGATTCACCCAGTATCACTCCATGAAATGTTCGAAATTTATATATTTTTAAAATCACCAAGATTCACTCTTTCAAAATATGCAATGAAATATAGGGTGTGCCATTTGAAAAAATGAAACATTTTCACACCCCTCGTATATGGAATAACGAAATAATGTTTGGAGGGCACCATTCGAAAGAGAAAATATTCGATTCAAGATTTTTTTTTCACAATTGCATACCTCGTTAGTCCCAGCACTGGGACCAAACGCCCCATAAGTCGAAACTTGTGCGGGGTTAGGTATACATACAAACACAAACATCCATGGCCTAAATAGGATTCGAACCTAGGTCTCGGTGGGAGTCCCCATACGAACTCAGCGCCTCAACGCTCTCGACCACCGACCACTCGAAGTTTCCAATATCTTATTTAGTTTTCGAGATATTGAGTGTTGGAAGCGTGAAATCCATAGTCAATCACTCATCATTATAAGAGAGCAATTTCGAAGATATTCACAGTAGAAAATGATAGAATTCCACCGTGTATGCTTGTATTATGTGGAAACAGAGCAGTTTTTGTTGAATTTGTTTGAAAATATGTCCAGGGTGTTCCTAAAATCATATGGAGAATTTTCTGTAACTTTAAAGTCACCTGCTTCCATCATTTAAAATAACCTTAGTCCTTAATGGATCACCCTGTATCTGTTCCATTTAAATGTCAGTAGATATTAAATCAAAAGTTAAGATAGGGACATGTTAGCCGTTTCCACCAATAATGCATGAATAGTTTCGACACAAAAAAATCCTACAGTTGAAAAATCCCGATTTGAATGCAGATCTTCAGGGAGAATCTAAAAATGCAATAATATACAGGGTCTTCTATTTGAAAAAATGAAGTTAATGCTCGAGTTAATGTCACTTCCGGTTCAACCGGAAGTGCCTCCATCTTGGAAATGTATGCCACCAAATTTTCGAATCCCCCCTATAATGATTGAATTATTTACCGGTTGGACACCCTGTATAGCAGGTATTGAATCCTGTGGGTATAGACTGTGGTATAGAGTTGGGATTTTCAAAATGAAATATCCTTTTTATTTTGTAATGGAATTTATTTATATCAATGCTCCACATTTCGTATCATGATCATATTCCGTGTAAACCCTATATTTAGTTAAATTATTTTTTTCAGGATTACCAGCAATCCAATAATTATAATTTCGGATTTCCTGAACTTTTTGGAGTAGAAAATCAAGAACAGAAAACTCTTACTGTACATAGGGGAAACATTTTTGATGATCTTATCAAAGCATTCGAAGATGATTTTTTTCTCAGAGGAAATTTAAAATTAGAGTTGATTCTTCCCACAGGCGAAAAAGAATCAGCTGAAGACTTCGGTGGGGTATGGAGGGATGTTCTTTCCGAATTCTGGCAGACATTTTACGAAAAATGTACAGTTGGAACTATCATGAAAGTTCCTTATATTAGGCATGATTTTGGGGAATTGCAGTGGAAAGCTATTGCAAAAATTTTTTTAAAAGGATTTATATTGGAGAAATATCTCCCCATTAAAATAGCTCCAGTTTTTCTCAAAACGTGTTTTAATCTGAATGTCAATGATGAAGATCTGATTAATGAATTTTTCAATTATATTTGTGATACAGATCGACAAGTTTTTGAGCAAGCACAAAAAAATTTTGATGAAGTTGATTTAGATGAATTAGTTGAAATTTTCAGTACGTATGAATCTAAATGGAATCCAAACGAGGACAATTTCAAACAGCTTTTGCGAGATATAGCACACAAAGAACTAATTCAAAAACCAGCTTTTGTTGTGAAATGCTTTCAGAAAGAATGGGAGTATAAAATCACCAATCATGAAGAAATACTGGAGCTATACGAAAAAATCAAACCCTCAGTTAAAAATTGTCTTAAAAAAATAGAACTCGAGAACTCAAATATTACAAATGAACAAAATATTGTTTTCAATTATTTAAAAAAATTCATAAAAGAAGCTGACGATACGATAAGAGAAGCTTTTTTCAGATACTGTACCGGCTCAAACTTACCAATTATGAGTATAAAAGTAGCTTTCGTAGAAACAACTGGTATCAACCGACTACCCATTGCACATACATGCTCCGGACTACTGCAACTGTCATCAACATACGAGAATTTCATTATTTTACGAAGCGAGTTAAATTCTATTTTGAATTCAAATATTTGGATAATGGATTTAGTGTAATCCTTGGCGGAATGAAATCATCTTTCTTCGGGGCTATAATATTTTTAGCACTCGATGACACCAGTCAGATTTTTTGGCATATTATGTCCTCGGAGATAAGATAACCCTCTTTTCACGAATAAGTTGTTTTTATTTTTTTATTTATATTCGAGTTTGGCGCTTGAAACCTACTATGAATTTGTTTAGTGAGGACAATTTGAGTAATACGTATATTATAGCTAGACAGATTAGGAAATTAAATTGGCATTATAATATAGGATTTACAATAATAGGTTTGTATACAATTTAGTCGAGCTATAGTGAACCAATACATACACGTGTTGTATAATCAAGTATCGAATTAGACCACTGTAGCATGTTTCTCCTTCCTACTGTTTAACCCATTTTTACTACGAAAGATGGAAGCTTGCATAATATACAGTTTCAGTTACAATATTCAAATTTGTGAATGTAAGATGAAGCCAACGATTGAAACGAAGAGAGAGGAAAATACATTTCACAATGGTCCAGTTGAATACTCGAATATAACCGCGTATATCTGTAATATTTTGTGCTGGTCTACTGCCTCGAGTAGATTTCGTTCAAACCTCCTACAGTCTGTGATTTCTGAAACTGTATTCTCTAGACTCTAGACTCTAGAGCATAAAGATTCATTCTAGAGTCTAGAGTGTAGACTACTCTTGAGTCTAGAGTCCACATTCGTAACCTAAAAATGTTGCCAGCAGCTCACTAGACATTCTCATACATATGAATGTTTGTTAAGTTTTTATGATATATTATTTCAACATATTTAGTAACTATGTTTTTGTTGCTGTATTTCGAAAAATAAATATTTAAGTTTTATCGATTTTTATGCACAAATCCCAGAATATATTCTCCTGAACAGGATTGTGATAATAAGACACGAAAGAACTCATTTGCCATGTAATTATAAAATAAAATATTTCATATATCATGTATTGTACAATATTCACATTATTCCATTTCTTAAGCTCATATATACATTAAAATAAGCGCAAATATGTCAAACCCTGATGAAAAGCTTGACGTATACTATCGAATGGCACTAATGAAAAAAATATGGGGATAAAAATAAATTTTGAGGTTAGACCCCTTTTTCCACCCAAATTTTTACACTATTCTGATGTCACCTCTGTTCAAATTCCTGATGTGCGGAAGGCACAATCACAAGGAATTCAATCATTTAAATTGTTTTAAAGTGGCGTACTTGATTTTTTTCTAATTTTTTGTTAAATTTTTGGGATGAAATTTCTCGTAAATTAGGAGAATTAGACAAAATCTGATATCATGGGAATATTTTTTAGACAGTATCATATTGATGTGCTGATAATATTTGCACGTATTCCAATGCCACCCTGTATAATAGCAATTATTGCAAAATTATCATAGGTAATGATACTATGATAATATCGACGAAATGATATCGATTATATCGAGATCATTCGTACGTTCCACAAAAACTTATTTATTTGACAGAATTATTAAATCAACTCAATTAATAAAATCACGGGTGTTTATCAGAATAATGTGTTTTTTCTAATTCGCCTATGGCTTGAAACAATATTGTTCATCAATTGTAGCATTTCTGTCTATATTTTTCGAACGGCTTGCCTACTAGACTAAAATTATAGCAATGATCATATAGATTGTTCAATGTTCAGTATTTATTATGCGAAAGAGAAAATTCGAGAAAAATAGGTTCATATCTCGAAAAATACAGACTAATAATATAAGAAATATGACATCAGATACGAGAATATGTGAATAGGTATGAAATATATAAGGTGTTCCATTTGAAATAACAAAGTTATGACCAGTCGAAAAAGTCAAAATTGGTAGTTCATTATAAATCACCCTGTAAGATAACTCTCGATTATGACTTCATTAAAGCGATAATCGAAGTTTCATCGGAGCTCGTGCACATCCTGTAGAGATCAAAATAATTTTGATTTGTAGACCTCACGATATTGTATCATAATATCATTATCCCCAGAAAGATTTTGTCTATCTCTCTTTACACTTGAGCTATGGAGCTTTTCCACACTACGTAGGCGTGAATCAGAATGCGACCGGCAAACATCGTATATTATACGATTTCCTTCGATTCCTCACCTCTTTTTGAGGTGAAAAGTTCTTATCGTAGTTATGCCCTAAAGTCCTAAAATACATCCATGTCGGAAGATCGAAAAAAATAGGTTTTATATCAATTTATTTCCCCCTGTAGGAAAAATAAATTAAACTCGGTATACTATTCCCATTTTTGAATCACGTAAGTCAGTGGCGTAGTTATGATCGTGTGTTGCCACGTTCTCCTTCGTATTTTTTTTTTAAAACGAATTGTCAAATTGGTGTATGACATCAATTTGACTTATCTATACCTTACCTAGAAGTAATGAATATTCCACATGCCTGAATGTTAGGGCTTCTGAGATATTTTTGCGAAAAACTAAAGAGATGTCTTGGCGTAATATTGAGTATATTGAGATCAATTTTCGACGTGCCACAACGGCATAACGCTGATTTTTTACGAGATTAAAAAAAATTCTCAACCTCCTGAATATTTTTTATTGTTGAAAACATTAAAACTATAGTACCTACAGGTGAGTCAGAAGTAGATCGACAAACTGACTTCTTTATTTCACACGTTATTTCAAGGTGAATACTTTATATTGCGTTATGATTTGATGTGTAACCATGCTTGGGATAGGTACAATAAATATTTGTTTAGTAGTTGAATATATGATCAAAATTCAGCATTATAATTTTAATTTCCATCTTGAACACTTAGCAATATTATCTCAGTTTTTTGCAAATATCTCAGGAACCTCTACATTTAGGTTATTACTTTTAGGTTGAGTATTGATAATTGATGTCATAAACCGATTGATATTTCATCTGTCCGTAACTGCGATGTTGCCAAATGCCACCCTTTCTCAATTCTCGAATATGTAACGATTCGATAAACAATCTGTACAAGTATAGTCTGTAATTATGCATGTTTACCTTTTTATGGTTGCAAGAATTTGAGGTAAGTTTATTATCATACATTAGAAAACGTATCCATCAAACTGAAATTACTTGTTATTTAGTCATAATCCATCACCCTAATAATTCCATATAAAGTATTAGAGATATTCTGACCACGAATAAAAAATTTCGACTGTCGTTTAAGGAATTGTTGAATTTCAATAAAATAACTTCATATGCCCAAGATAAAAATTTTACATGGATTTGGACCATATGTGATACATATGGTCCAAATCCTCGTTATTAGCAATCTTGATGAGTATGAAATTCTGACCAAAAATCATAAAGTAGGTAAATTTTAAAGTGGATGATTTTGATTTTGACTTCGTTCTGAAATAATTCTCTGTTATGTTAATTCCTATCATAAATTGCACCCTCCTCTCATTGGTAATTTCAAAGTGTCTCTGGATAATCAATGTTATTAATAAAACAACGTTTCAGACAAAAATTTCCTTTAATATCCTTCTTAAATTCATATACAAGTCTATCGCACTATATGGATCGTTTTCAGCTCTCAAATCATTTTCTGCCATGAGTATACCACATAATTGATAAAACTCTTCGTCACAAGGATATTCCTGGAATAAACAATCTAAACTGAGTGCGTCCAGAGCGAATGATGGTACTTCTATCAGATAGCTCCGTGTCTGGTATAACGATGGCATTTCAAACATGATACATGGTCTGCCAGAGGGACTATTACTATTTCTTGAAGGACGTATTTTATGAACACTCCACTCCAGCACAACTTCATCAAGGTCCCTCTGAAATAATGATTACATCGGATGGTTGTTGTTTTTGAAAGGAAATATTATGGCCCTAATTCCAGACTTTTATCAAATATTGCAAAATGAAAATTTCACTCCAAAATGAACAGAATATGTTAAGTACCATGGTTATGACGATCTGATTCAATATTACTGAGCAGGTCTACTCCGATAAACACCTCCCATAAAACACTAGACAGCGTAGGGCATTGAAAACGAAACAACGGCTCTAAAAAAACGCTGTAACAAGTCGAGATTCAGAGTTCTGATCACCCTGTATATGTTCCAATTAAATGTCTGTAGATAGTAAATCAGAAGTTAAGTAGGGACATGTAAGTCGTTTCGACCTACTTATAAAGAATAGTTTCGCCACCAAATAGTTATTTATGTCAAGAGCGTAAAGTAGGCTTTTATGGATCGCAGCGTGTAAGTAAAAGCCTGAGCGATAGCGAGGGCTATTAACACGCCTAGGTCCATAAAAGCAAGTTACGTCCGAAATACATACAACATTTTATGCATCCTTTTGGACAAATTATATATGCCACTGGCGAAGAAAGATCGAATAGAAGTCTACTAGCAATTACTGCAAAAACAGTGAAATTGCTTTATCGCCCGTTCGCCTACTTTACAGCCCGCCGGACTACTTTACCGACCGATTTACACATTTTACGCCCTAGAGCGCTAAAGTGCTACTTTACGCATAAAACATATTTTGATGGATGAAGTGGAAACAAAATTATATGAATCCAAGTGAATGAAAGTTTTTTGTCTGTTTTTGTATTTAGCCAAATTTAAGATAGTAAAATTATAAGAAAATATAAATCGAAAGGGCGTTTTCGTGGATGAACTGTTTTCAGTTGTACTTATAATTTAAATAGATTGGTTTGACAAACAGAATGGACAGAGCGTCTGAAAAGACAATAATCAGATCACTGAATTTTGTATTCTTCAGATATATTTTGATATATAGGCATATTCCGAATACGACGAGTGAACCGACTATTGTTTTTCACGAAGAGACACTAATTTGTGATATTCAGTAATTTATAGGGGCACGCTTCCCTTCTAAATTATGTGGATATAATTTTTAGAATTATTATTAAACTGAAATAATTACCTGTACAAGCTGCATGAAGCAAAATTGTACAAGAGATTTGTCTAAAAATGTTCCATCATAGAGATTGTCATCTCTTAGCATTTCGAAAAGGTTAATCCAGAATTGTGCATTATGCTTCCGAAGTATTGACCACCACGCCTCTATGCGTTGATTATGTGTACTGCTTCCGTAAAGGAAAGGTGGCCTCTCAGATGTGGCTTCGTTGAAAGTTTGATGAAGAGCTTTTTGCATTCTTTCAACTAAGGTATTTTCTGTACCGAAATCACTTCTGAGAGTTTTGGGGCAACCCTTGATCATCTTTAGAGCATTCATGTAATATCCACCAATAACCTGTAAATGACGAAGGGTGATAATTCGATAAGGGTATATTTGACCTAAACCGGGTGTCAACGTATTCATTAGACAAGCCATAGTTTCCAGAGTACTGAAGGTATGATATTCAAACTTAGCAAGGGTGTTATATGAATTCAAAAATTGTGAAATTTCTAGATATTTCATACTCTCTCATCACTTCCGGTTACACCAAAAACTACCCCAACTTCCGATTTTCAAATCGGTATCGTTTAACATAATCGGTTAGAGATTATCATAACGAATTCAACGATACCGGGTTTGATTGGGTTATTTCAAACGATTACGAAGATATTTGCGTTTGAAGTTTCCATGTGCTTACTGCCGATTGATCGACGGACGACCCGTTGGCTCAATTGGCAGAGCGTTGGGCATGTAACCCAGAGGTTGTGAAAAACTCACTTCATACTATTGTTCTTCATGCTATAGAACCCCCATATGCAAAAT